GCTGCCATTTTTTAGATGTGTTGATTTTTAAATAACTATTTTGCTAATGTTCCAAGCTTTTGATGTATAGGATTCTGCCTGAGATGGTTGCTACCATTTTATCAGATTCTGTAAAAAGAGAGAGGGTCGTGTCACAACAAGATGGCTCAGATGTTCTTAGAGACACATTATCTCAGACAGAAGCACGAATGAATAACTATTATGAGGTTTTTCTTCGTCTGTTTTCTCTTCTTTACTGTCCCTACCTTTTCTTCAAAAAAAATCATTGGGAAATCTCTCATAGTGCACTGGAATGCTTTTGTACACCTTAACATCCTCTATGTTACCTGGACTCAGGGGACTCATTTATGGCTATGTGTACAATTCATGTATGCTCAATTTTTCAAAGCTTTTCCATCTACTTAAAAGATCAGACCCCATGCGTATGTTCGAATGTGTCTGACACAGGCGTTAGACCAGGGTACTTCACGGAAAATGAGAAGTGCTTGTAACATAGAAGTAGAGCACCCTCATAACACATTCCTATGTTGTATTTCTCCTTTTCCATTTTGTAGTAGTTCGTACTATGCTACAACTCTTTCTCATTGAATAATAATCTGACTATGCAGGTTGTTGCATTTTTCTTCGCCTTTGACTTTACATGGCCTTTTGGTCTTCACTAAATTTAATGGTTTATTTCATCCTTTTTCTTGCCTTAATTGAAGTTGAATGTTTGCAGATCATCATAGTTATTTACTTGCAGGGCTGTACGGCAACACTGCTTCTGGTTTGGGCTGATGCTGATGAGAATTTATTCGCACAATGTGCAAATGTCGGAGATTCAGCTTGCTTTATGAAGTATGCGTTTCTATTCTTATTATTCGAATTAGTTGGGTCCTGTAAGGTTACTACCTCACGCAGGATTTACTCTGCACTTTCTCAATTTTTTTCTTACTAGTTTATTATTCCAGTGATGCTTCTATTAGTGTATTTATGACCAACTACAATTTTATGACAGTGTGGACGGTAAACAGATTAAGATGACTGAAGACCATAAAATAACGGGTTATTCTGAAAGACTCCGAATTGAAGGAATTGGGGTACCATTAAAAGACGGGGAAACATGGTTATGTGGTATGTACAGGTTTCTGCATCTATTCTTTACAGTCAGGATTCGGCAGCATCACAGAATTATGGCGAGGTGATTCTATTTACCCTTTCACTGTTTGATTTTTTGCATACTAAACATATTGCCGAAGTTGTAGAGGTATTTGTCGTCTATTTTAACCCCTTCAAATTCTCTTAAAGTACTTGCATCTGAAATATATTTGGACATAGGTATGAGTGGCATGTAGGGATAGGCATGGGTCGGGTTTTTGGCCGACCCGAATATTATACTCCCTCCACCTGTCACTTGACCCGACCCGGGTTTATTGAGGCTCAACCTGACCCCAATTTGATTTGATTTTTAGGGTAGAAACCCACACCCGACCTAACCCAAGACACACATATGTAACAAATTCTTATTATTATTTGGTAAAATTGGGACCTAGTTGAAAAATATATAAAAGAAGGGTATTATTACAATTATCCTAATTATATAAAGGATAATTCTCGAGTCAAGTCGTTGATTTTTGACCATGAAACCGAACCGTCTTGAACCCGGATTTTAAAAAAAGAAACCCGACCCTATAGAGTCGGGTCAAAACCCGTTAGGTCCGGATCCCATGTCCATCCCTAGTGGCATGATGTTCAAATATTTGAAAAGTGAAATTGAGCATGCCCATATTGGTAGGATATCCGTAATAGACAGACCTCCGAGTCTGGGTAACATAACTTGTCATAGAAACTATTTGTTTTATCTACATTTCTCGGTTTAGCTTGCATGATATGATCCACCTTAGTTCGTTAGTAATACCATTTTGTTTTCTCTGCATTTTCGTATTTCTATTCTTCTTTATCTGTACATTTTGTTTGTGACATTGCGGAAATGTGGATCTGGTTTGTGTCAGTGATGGATTGTGGGATGCTATTAGCTTTAAGAAGGCAATTCCAGTAGTTGTACAGGTATGATTGTTATTAATGCAACATAATACATACTATACAGTTTCTTGCTCGTTTCTTTTACCTATCTTATCTTTTTACTGGGTAGACGAGGGGGAGATATTCGACCGATGATGAAAATTTAGCCGAGAAGATCGATGATGCTTTGTTGAATGAGGCTAGAAATCTGCGAACAAAGGATAATACCTCTCTTATTTTCTTAGACTTCGACTCCACTTCCACAGTTCCTTCTTGTAAAGTCCTTCCCTAATGAATTTTAAGGCTCTGTAGTGTGAAATCTTTGGTTAATTATTTCAGTGTTGTTTTCATTTTGCAAACACTCTTCATTTAGGCCTTTAGCCACATGCTGGTTACATCAATGGAATGTACTCTTCTTTTTCTTACTTTCTTTATTTTACATGTACATAATTATATGGTTGCTTTGTTTTGAAGAGCTTATATTGCAGCATTTAATCAACCGAACGTGACAACAATTCAAAAATAATTTTCACGTGCAGGCCAGGTTTGAGTAGGGATGGTCATCGGCGGCTGGATTTCCAGTCAATCCGTAATCTGATCTAACATGTTTTAAAGATGTTTCACATGACTCAAATCTGACCCAATTTCTGACTTGACACAAATACAAAAAAAACAAAAAACAATATCTGTTCAATAAAATAAAGAATTAATTGAAAAAATATAGAAAGAGAAAAAAATATAATCCGTAATGTATAGCGGATAATAATATTGTTATATTAGTTCAGGCTACAGAATTTTTTCAATCTTTAATCCAATTTGGTTCAATCCCCTTATTATTTTAAAAGAAATATTTGATCTAGAAATTCTGATCGAATTAAAATTCATCGAATTTGAACATTGTATTAGCCATTTCACCTAAGTTTATTATTCCTCCATTATTATTTTCTGAATAATCTGAAATGATTATAAGATAATATAAGTTAAGAATCTTTCTTAGTCATTAATAACACACATCATGTAAATATAGTTGTTTGAACTCAGGATCTCTAAAGAGAACAACACTCCTCTTTACCTGAGGTCGCTTGATCGGATAATCTCAAATAAGTCCATCACTAATTTATCATTATAAGGATTAATCTCAAATAACTCAATCCACTAATCACTTTTCCGTAGGTTTAATTGGCAATTTAGCAAGCAAGTCTGCTCCACCAAATAACATTTTTAAAACTTCACTTCTAGCCTTAAATATTTGTACTTCACACATTGTTACTGATAAATCAAGTTCGCCAATGATGGGCTTAAAACAATATATGCTCTATCAACGAAGTTGGTTCAAGTGGTAAACAACTTAATATCACTTAAGTGGGTCTCAAGTTCGAAGCTTTGTATATGCAGAAAATTCCCGTTAAAAGACTCACCCATTAAAATCAGGTGTATGAAACAGATCAATCTAAATTAATTAATACAAAGTCATATAAAATCGGGAGGACAACCAAAAAAGAAGAAGAAGATAGATTTACAATATATAAAGAGTAAACACAATAATTATATATTTGAGATGTTGCATTAAAGACTTGTAATAAATAATCATCACATTAATTTATTAATTTATGATTCTATCAATTCGTAGAAATTTGATACTTTTGAATAGTATCAATGATTTGTATATATGAATAATCATTGAGGTTCTTTTAATTAATAAAAAAATTGACATTTTTCAATAGTCTTAATAATTTGTTTATATATGAATAACCATCACATTAATTCATGATTCTTTCGATTTGTAGAAATTTGATACTTTGGAATAATTTCCATGACTTGTAAATATAAGTAGTCATCAAACTAATTCATAGTTCTTCCGATTTATGGAAAAATTGACACTTTTAAATAGTATCAATAATTTGTATATATCAATAATCATCAAGGTTCTTTTAATTTATGAAAAAAATTGACATTTTTGTAATAGTCTTAATGATTTGCATATATGAATAATGATCGCGTTAATTCATGATTTTTTTATTCGAAGAAAGATTCAATATTTTTTTTGAATAATCTCAATTATTTATATATATATATATGAATAGTCGTCACAATAACTTGATTTAACCCAAATTATTTTAATATTTTTAGAATAAATTTATTAATTTAAATTTACTCGAATTTAGATTTAGAATAATTGATGAAAGTAAACCTCATATATTCCTATATTGTTTAAGGACTTAACTTGAAGCCAATGGCAATTCATGGTACTATATGTTAATATGAGTAATAATCTTGTTTTTTTTAACTTCATATAATTAGCACTCACTGTATACAAAATGTAGAAGGATTTCCACTATATAATGTTATTTTCAACATCTCTTTTTCACGTAGTGGGTGAATCCTCTTGGTTGCTTCCATGAATTTTCTGCAATAAGACAACTATATGTGTCATTATAACACTATTTGTGGATTCAAAGAGGGACGTGGAAATAAAAATCAAAGTAAAGAGCACGTTGATATAGACATGGTCGGGCAAAATTTTTCCAGTTCCTGGAAAATTACATCAAATAATGAAATAATAGTCAGTGTCTTTGCTACAATGACTTTTGTTGCCTGAAAATAACAATACCAATACTTAATCAATTAAAGAAGAAAATAAAAACACAGAATAGAGGGGAAATGTTTTGAGCCCTTGCGGATATCATGCAGCAACTATTAAACTAAAGAAATAACAATACCCACCCTAATAAAATCAGATACATTATCCTATAGAAGAGAAGAAATATAAAAAACAGTGTTACATGACTATTCAGAACTATGACATGCTACCATACATCATTTATCTGCAAGACCATAAAGAGCAAATGCAGCATTGTGTTGCAAAGATACATTCTTTGAATCCTGAAGCTTCAACAAAGGAACCAAAGCACCCATATGTGCAATACCAGCTTCATTATTTGTGTCCTGAAACCACCATCATAACTACCCACCGATCACCTCTATGGTTGTTGTCTACTTTACCAGTCAACAAAGTTCTTTGTGTTCTCTGGAACATAGAGAAAGCTGGTGATATTTGAGCAATACGATAAATCGATATCTTCGAGGGCATCCAACTTAATAATGCTTCTGGGAAGATTACCAATCCTTGTGCCTCTCAAATCCAAAAATGTGAGCTTTTCCAGGCATTGGATTGACGTAGGTACTTCTTCAATGGCGGTGCAGCTTAAGATTAATCTCTTTATATGTTTTGGGACCTCGGGAAATTTCTTGATGCTGTCACAACAACTAAAATCGAGCTCACTCTGAAGAAATTTCAGATGAGTCATGCAAGGTAGTTCAACCAAGCTTTTGCATCCTCTAACCAGTAATACTTCAACATTTTCGCATCGCATGAGGGTAGGAAGCTTTGTTAAATTCTTGCATTTTCGAAGATCCATCACTTTCATATTCACATGATTCTGTATGATGAAATGGAAAACAAAATTAGCGTAAATATTTAAAATATTCCAACCCATTTCTTGTAGTAGATCGTGCATCCAAAGGATACTATGCCCTCTTAAGAGACCCATATCAATGAGGTCGCTTATTACACAATGGGCAGACCCACCGTAAATACCGTCCAGTATTTTTGTTACCTGATCCCTACAATATCAAGCATGCAATGTCAAGAAATATATTCTTCTCGACCTCATCCAATCTATCAAAGCTAATCTTCGATAGATTAAGAATGGGATGTTCCCTCAGCTTCTTCAAAAAGCTTATAGAATAATAGGCAATTCATGGTACTATATATTAATATGAATAATGATTTTGTTTATTAACTTTATATGATTAGCACTTAGTAATGACACACAATGTAGAGGGATTTCCACTATTACAAATAAAGTGGTTTATATGTACGTAATGTTATTATAAAAATTGATTAATGTTTTCTACAAAGTCATGACAGTAAACCCTACGGTGATGCTCTGTGTATTGTCGTTTTGCATCTCTGTTTTTCATGTGGAAAAAATGTAGTGGGTGAACTCTCTTGGTTGCTTCCATACCTACCCTAATTTCGGACAATGATTTAAACCAAACACTTGTTGAAGTAAAAACCACGTTGACAGTAAACCTTCAGCAGATAATAAAGTTTAGCTAATTAAACATGGTCTTATCCTTCACCCATCCCATTATTATGGGAGTACTGTGGGCTACCATCCTCGTTTCCATTGCCACAAGTATGTCAACAGCAGAGCAGTCGCCATTGGAGTTTGAAGCCAAAGCCGTGTTAGAGAGTGGATGGTGGAGTGGGTATCACAACATTTCACAACGTTGCGAGTGGCACGGTATCTCATGCAACCCTGCTGGAAGCATCACCAAAATTGATCTTAGTGATCGTCGGCTTGGTGGAAAAATCCCGCCTGGAATAGGTTATCTATCGGCATTGGAGTACCTTGGCTTGTCCAATTGTGATTTATCTGGTGAGTTACCTCCTCCTCTTTGTAATTTAGAAGCCTTATTTGCATTATTCCTCTCCCAAAACAGATTGATTGGTTCCATCCCATCTTGTGTTGGTAATTTGTACAACTTGACTTTCTTAGATCTTCATTCAAATCAATTACAAGGTTCAATTCCATCAGATATTGGGAATTTAGAAGCACTAGAATCATTAGACCTCTCCCAGAACAGATTGAATGGTTCCATCCCCTCTCAGATTGCCATGCTTTATAGGTTGTCATATTTAAACCTCACCTTCAACCAACTCTCCGGTTATGTCCCTAATTTGTATGCTACTAAGCTTCTTATTGTCGATAATAGTAATGACTGTTACACGATTTATCCTGATCCTTTTCAAGGAAACAAGGGCTTATCGCCTTGTATGAATTCTTCGGTAACCAACAATGCCAAAAACAATAAAAGTCCTCCCTATATCGAAATATGCCTCCCTATTGCCATCTTTTCTACTTTCTCCATTCTTGGTTGTTTGTTCTTTTCACGGTTTAAGGCCAATAATAAACCTGTTGGAGGACGACCGACAAAGAACGGGGACATATGTTCCATATGGAACTACGATGGAAAGATAGCATACGAGGATATCATCGCAGCAACAGAGGATTTCGACTTTCGTTACTGTATTGGAGTCGGTGGTTATGGAAGCGTTTACAGAGCCCAACTCCCTTGTGGAAAAGTTGTTGCCTTGAAGAAACTTCATCGTTTAGAAGCTGAAAATCCTGCTTTCGACAAGAGTTTCAGGAACGAGATCAAGTTTCTAACAGAGATACGACATCGAAATATTGTGAAGCTTCATGGATTTTGTCTGCACCGACGCTCCATGTTCTTGATCTACGAATACATGGAGAAAGGGAGCTTATTTTACAACCTAAGAGATGAAGTGGAAGCAGTGGAAATGGATTGGACGAAAAGAATTGAGATCATCAAAGGCATGGCGCATGCTTTGTGTTACTTGCACCATGATTGCACCCCTCCTATAGTTCATCGAGACATATCAAGCAACAATGTTCTGTTGAACTCGAGCTTTCAAGTCTTTGTGGCCGACTTTGGAACTGCTAGAATGTTGGATCTTGATTCATCTAATCACACCATTCTAGTTGGAACCCGTGGCTATATAGCTCCAGGTGATGTTTCCCTTCTCTACAACTTCATTTATTAACACTTTTCTTAGAAGTGTATATAATTAATTGAATTTCTTTTAATTCGATTTGTGCATGCAGAACTTGCCTATACAATGAATGTCAACGAAAAATGTGATGTGTATAGTTTTGGAGTAGTGACACTGGAAACATTGATGGGAAAGCATCCAGAAGAAGTGTTGTCGCAGTTGTCATCACCATCTTCTTTGGTGAGTATGAAGTTAATTGATGTGTTAGACAATCGTTTACCAGTTCTGACAAGCCAGCTTGTTGCACAAAATCTTGTTCAAGTTGCTACGTTGGCGTTTGCTTGCTTAAATCAACAACCGAAGCTACGGCCAACAATGAAAGAAGTGTGCAAAGAGTTCCTTTGTCGCCAAACATCCTTGAAAGTTCCCCTTCGGATGATTTCTTTGTTTCAACTCATGAATAATGAAATGCATATAAGAGAAAGTTCTGAAACTTGTCGTGTATAAAATCTTCAAGGGATGTTTCAATAAAGAGTCGCTTACCGTTATTTAGATAGAGTTTATTATGCTTTTGATTAATACATCTTTTTCCATTGTAATGAAATCTATAGTTCTAATGACTAAAAAAATACAATACTTCAATATTTATAGAGCAAACACAATAATATCAACTTTGAGATATTGGCATTCTACATAGAGTAATCATCACATTAGTTCATGGTTGAGCCATTTTTCCCCAAACATTTTTAAATAGTATCAATGATTTTTATATACAACTAATCATCACATTCATTTAATTTAACTCTTCGTGTGAAATTCTCTCATTTCTAACATAAAATATTACGCCAACAAAAGAAATATAAAAAGATTTTTGAGGATTCTAAATAAGTTTAAGACCTTCAAATTATCAAAGGAAGTCGAAGATAAAATCTTATTGGTACGAAGATCAACATCTTTATTATCGATGATTGAATTGTAACGTCAATTTATAACTATGATAATAGATATAAGTAAAATAATAAGTAATTACCACTTATTGAAAATAATAAAGATTTACAAAGGAAGATGTAACATACACTATACTCGTAAATAATTTTATACCTCAAATTTAGAGAAATTATTCATTATAAGAAATTCATGCGTTAGGTACAAAGTCTTAATTTGTGACCCGAATCTTTTTAATCCAGTTTAAAAAGCTACTCGTTTAATAGCAGAAATAAATTCGAAGAGAAATAGAGAATCTATGGAGGATACAAAGATTTTTTAGCCTTAGCACAACATTGATTCCTGACCGTGGGTGCGAGAAAGCTCCCGCCACACAAACTTTATCGAACATCCACTCCATATAAGATTATACCTTTTTTTTGTTTGTTAAATTTTGACTGAAAATAAGAATTCATATTAAAGAAGACTAGTTGTAATATTAGATTTCTTGCTCTTTAAGTAGTTAGCTCTATAAATAGATAATAATAATTATGATTATTATAAATTGAAAAGACGAAATTTTATAATTCGTATGAGGACTTGTATTTGCAGACCCTATTATAATTTTGTCATGATAATAAATTTATCTCTTTTATGTACGATTATTTTCCTTTTAGTATTTTTCACATAAAATCTTAATTTTTTAATCTTGTTCCTTTACATAGTTTACTTATTATTTTATAATAATATACATAATCACTTTAAGGGGGGAAATTTCACACATATTTATGAAAATGAGAAAAAAAGCCTAAGACATACAGACATTTGAAGTAGAGGAGACGTTAAATTAGTATTAATCAAGCCAGAATTTTTTAATTTGTGGAGAAAAGGATCTCGTTTCCCACATAGAAAAGTAGGTCAAGAAAAAGATGGAAAAGACTTTGGGTCCACAAATAGGTTTGAACACATTTAAATTGTTGAACGGAATTAAAGATGGAATTGTGCATGTCTTCATTTGAGATTCGTAATCTATACTTCACTTGTAGAAAACTCGATACCTTCAATTTAGATAGATTACTGATGATTCATAGTCGATATATGTTGTACGAGACCCTATTGGAATCTAATATTCACATTGTTATTGATAAATCAAGTTCGCCAATGATGGGCTTAAAACAATGTATGATCTATCAACGAAGTTGGTTCAAATGGTAAACAACTTAATATCACTTAAGTGGGTCTCAAGTTCGAAGCTTTGTATATGCAGAAAATTCCCGGTAAAAGACTCACCCATTAAAATCAGGTGTATAAAACAGATCAATCTGAATTAATTAATACAAAGTCCTATAAAATCGGGAGGACAACCAAAAAAAGAAGAAGAAGATAGATTTACAATATATAAAGAGTAAACACAATAATTATATATTTGAGATGTTGCATTAAAGACTCGTATATAAATAATCATCACATTAATTTATTAATTTATGATTCTATCAATTCGTAGAAATTTGATACTTTTGAATAGTATCAATGATTTGTATATATGAATAATCATCGAGGTTCTTTTAATTAATGAAAAAATTGACATTTTTCAATAGTCTTAATAATTTGTTTATATATGAATAACCAACACATTAATTCATGATTCTTTCGATTTGTAGAAATTTGATACTTTGGAATAATTTTCATGACTTGTAAATATAAGTAGTCATCAAACTAATTCATAGTTCTTCCGATTTATGGAAAAATTGACACTTTTAAAAAGTATCAATAATTTGTATATATGAATAATCATCAAGGTTCTTTTATTTTATGAAAAAATTGACATTTTTGTAATAGTTTTAATGATTTGCATATATGAATAATGATCGCGTTACTTCATGATTTTTTTATTCGAAGAAAGATCAATATTTTTTTGAATAATCTCAATTATTTATATATATGAATAGTCATCACAATAACTTGATTTAACCCAAATTATTTTAATATTTTTAGAATAAATTTATTAATTTAAATTTACTCGAATTTAGATTTAGAATAATTGACTATATTGTTTAAGGACTTAACTTGAAGCCAATGGCAATTCATGGTACTATATGTTAATATGAGTAATAATCTTTTTTTTTTAACTTCATATAATTAGCACTCACTGTATACACAATGTAGAAGGATTTCCACTATATAATGTTATTTTCAACATCTCTTTTTCACGTAGTGGGTGAACCCTCTTGGTTGCTTCCATGAATTTTCTGCAATAAGATAACTATATGTGTCATTATAACACTATTTGTGGATTCAAAGAGGGATGTGGAAATAAAAATCAAAGTAAAGAGCACGTTGATATAGACATGGTCGGGCAATGTTGGATCTTGATTCATCTAATCACACCATTCTTGTTGGAACTCGTGGCTATATAGCTCCAGGTAATGTTTCCCTTCTCTACAACTTCATTTGTTAACACTTTTTTTTCAATAAAAAGTATATGTAATTAATTGGATTTCTTTTTATTTGATTTGTGCATGCAGAATTTGTCTATACAATGATTGTCACCGAAAAATGTGATGTGTATAGTTTTGGAGTGGTGGCACTGGAAACACTAATGGAAAACATCCAGAAGAAGTGTTGTCGTGGTTGTTATCACCTTCTTTGGTGAATATGAAGTTAATTGATGTGTTCGTTTGTCACTTCCAACAAATCAATTAATTGCACAAAATCTTGTTCATGTTGCTACATTGATTTTTGCTTGATTAAATCAACGAGCGAAGTCACGACCAACGATGAAAGAAGTGTGCAAAGAGTTTATTTCTCGCTCAACATCCTTAAAGGCTCCCCTTCGGATGATTTCTTTGTTTCAACTTGTGAAGCATGAAATACATATAGGAGAAAGTTCTGATACTTGTAATGTTTAGATTAAATGATTCTTTGTACAATGAAACAGGAAGGACAAGAATTTATGAATTAATATTGCACTGTCAGGACAGTGATTTCATTCAAACAATTCGAAAGTTTAGAATGCAAAGTGAAAATGCAGTCATAATATAATCAAGGCAATCAGCTAAGTGGCAGTTAAGTAGTATATACATGCACTGTTTTCTTTGGTCTTCTTTGTTTAAGCTTAGCCTTCACATTTATGCCATTATCGATGATAGATTGAAGATCTATGTGAAGCTTCCCCTCTATTCTGTCCCCTTTCCTTGGGGTGTAAACAACATCATGAATATCATCATCCAATGCTCTCTGAGCCAAAATTGAACCCATAGCCGCACAAGCAGAAGCATTTCTTGTAGAACCTAAGTCAAACTTCATATAGAAATGACTGTTAGCATGCTCGGGATGATCTGGGCTGTTGGATCTTTTGATCTGATCTAACAGCTGGGAATGTGCAACGGCTGAGGGTATAGGATGAAACTCTAATTGCATCAAATCTGGACTGTTGGATCTGCTTTAGATCCAAAGCTAATGCAGTAATGCTTGGCAGCGATTAAAGAATATGATGAAACTCTAGCTTCTTTAGGTTCCAGCTCATCGGCTCCTGCAGTTAAATATAAAATATTAAATATTGGGCTATAATTAAAACAAGGGTAAAGTATAGTAATGGTCACTGAACATTTCTGAAGCTTGCATTTAGGTCCCCCAACTTTTAAAACTTACAATACAATCCCCCAACATTTAATTCGTTTGCAATATAATCCCCGCACCTATGAAAATTAGGGTAAATTATATAAATGGTCACTGAACTTTTTATGTACTTGAATTTAGGTCCCCCAACTTTTAAAACTTACAAAACAATCCTCAATTTCATTCTAACCACAAATTCCAAAGTAATTCAATTTCATTCTAAACCCTAAATTCCAAAATAATTCAATTACATTCTAAAACCCAAATTCTAAAATACTTCAATTTCTGTCTTTTTTTATAAACGACGCCAACATCACTAAATTATTAATTAATTTACTTTTTATATTTAAAAACATATGATAATTTTTTAATATTAATTTAAAGACATTAAAATTTTTCGATAGTAAGAATATATGATAATAATTCATTTATTTAAAAATAAATATATTTGTGATTATTTGTGTATGTTTTATATCTAATCATACGTGTTAACATATTTTATATCTTTCATATAAATATTAAGACTACATAAATAGCAGAGTCAAAATTTTTATATGAGTTATGTTAATTATAGTAATGATGTATAATATATTTTATTTTTATATTTTCTATTATAATTAAAATATAAATATTACCATGATAATTAAATATTTATTTACTTATTACATCGATATTTTGTGTAGAAAAATTATTTAATAAAATCATAAAAACACAATAAAAAAAAACACTGAAGTTGACTACTTCAAAAATAAAATAAAAAAATCAATAATTTAATATAATATACCCTAAGTTGATGATAACAATTAACTCAAAAGAGATGGGGTTTGTGCCATGTTTTCGTAACGTACGTAAACTTTCTATTTCATGGTCACGTATTCTTTTAGTTCTAGCATGATATATTTTTTAATTTTCTAATACACTTAACAAAATTATATTATAACTCGTTAAGTGATTTCATAGGTAAAAAAATGTTATTTTCTTTAAAAGTTTTAAATTCAAACAATTGTGTTTGTAGGGTATATCTATATTATTAATAAATTAATTTTTTTTTGAATAAATAATATCTTATAATCACATCAAACTATTAAAAAACTAAATTATAATTGAAATAAATAAAAATTATAAGGATGCCAATTGGGGATTTTGATTCTTAATTTTTTTCATTGAGAGATTGTGTTTTTTTTATTCAATTTCTTCCATAATCATTTTTTATATTTAAATTATTGAAGGTCACTAAATTTACATTTACGAGGAGGGAGTGTATTTTTTTTCTTCACAAAAGCAAAAAAATCAAAACGCTATCACATTCTTAAAGATAATCTAGTATATTCCTCCTTAAATTGAAATATTTTAGAATTTGGGTTTTAGAATGTAATTGAATTATTTTGGAATTTAGGGTTTATAATGAAATTGAATTACTTTGGAATTTGGGGTTTAGAATGAAATTGAGGAATGTTTTGTAAGTTTTAAAAGTTAGGGGACCTAAATTCAAGTGCCTGAAAAGTTCAATGACCATTTATATAATTTACCCTAATTTTCATAGGTGCGGGACCATATTGCAAATGGATTAAATGTTGGGGGACTGTATTGCAAGTTTTAAAAGTTGAGGGACCTAAATGCAAGCTTCAGAAATGTTCAATGACCATTACTATACTTTTACCCTTAAAACAATGATAAAGGGTTAATATTCATTTTAATATTTAACAATTTTAATAATTATTTAATATTTATAATTAGTTAATTTAATATAAAACATAAGTACCCGGACGAAAGCGAGTGGCTACCCTATGGATTTTGTCCTTTTCGGTCTCTGTTTTTCATGGGTAGAAAATGTAGGGGTGAACTCTCTTGGTTGCTTCCGTAGGCGGATACCCTACCCAAATTTGGGACAATTTTTAGAACCAAAGTGAATTCGTGGAAAAATATGAAATATTAATTCAACTTGTAGTTGTATAAATTAACTAGGCTGAAAAACATGCAATACTGCAACTGAAGCTTTAGCAGACAGATCATAAAGCTTAGCTAATTAAACATGGCCTCCTCATTCACACATCCCATTATTCTGGGAGTATTGTGGGCTACCATCCTCGTTTCCTTTGCTACTACAAGTATGTCAACAGCAGAGCAGTCGCCATTGGAGTCTGAAGCCAAAGCTGTTTTAGAGAATGGATGGTGGAATGGCTATAGCAACGACGCTTCACAACGTTGCATGTGACCTGGTATCTCATGCAACCTGCTGGAAGCATCACCCGAATTGATCTTAGTGATCGTGGGCTTGGTGGAAAAATCCCTCCTGGAATAGGTGATCTATCGGCATTGGAGTACCTTGGCTTGTCCAATTGTGATTTATCTGGTGAGTTACCTCCTCCTCTTGGAAACCTTACCCTTTTACACTTTCTTGACTTTTCCCTTAATTATATTCATGGTCCAATCCCTTTTGCTTTGGGTCAATTAACCAATTTGAAAGAATTGTACCTTTCTTATAACCAACTTGAAGATTCCATCCCTCAAGATATTGAAAATTTGAAGAAGCTCATGTATTTAAGCATAAGAAACAATAGATTTACTGGTCATAATATTCCTCTACTTATGTGTCATTTAACAAAATTGGAATTTATTGACCTTGGTCTAAATCAATTAACTGGTTCAATCCCTTCTTGTAGTGGTGGTTTATCCAACTTGAATTACTTGATCCTTCATTCAAATCTATTACAAGGTTCTTTCCGCAAAAGATTGGGAATTTAGAAGCATTAACTTTCTTAGACCTCTCCCAAAACAGATTGAATGGTTCCATCCCCTTTCAGATTGCCAAACTTTCTAGGTTATCAAAATTAAACCTCACCTTCAACCAACTCTCCGGTTATGTCCCTAATTTGTCTGCTACTAGGCTTCGTATTGTCGATAATAGTAATGATTGTTACAAGATTTCTCCCCGATCCTTCTCGAGGAAACAAGGGTTTATAGCCTTGTATGTATTCTCCGGTAACCAACAATGCCAAAACTAATAAACGTCATTACTATATCAAAATATGCCTCCCTATTGCCATCTTTTCCACTTTCTCCATTGTCTGTTGTTTGTTATTTTCACGGTTTAAGGCCGAGGATAACCGGGCTGGTGAACGACCAACAAAGAACGGGGACATCTTTTCCATATGAAACTACGATGGAAAGATAGCATACAAGGCTATCATTGCAGCAACAGAGGATTTCCACTTTCGTTATTGTATTGGAGTTGGTGGTTACGGAAGCGTTTATAGAGCGCAACTCCCTTGTGGAAAAGTTGTTGCCTTGAAGAAACTTCAGCGTTTAGAAGCTGAAAATCCTGCCTTCGACAAGTGTTTCAGGAACGATATCAAGTTTCTAACGAAAATACAATATCGAAATATCGTGAAGCTTCATGAATTTTGTCTGCACTGACGCTCCATGTTCTTGATCTACGAATACATGGAGAAAGGGAGTTTGTTCTACAACCTAAGAGATGAAGTGGAAGCAGTGGAAATGGATTGGACGAAAAGGATTGAGATTATCAAAGACATGGCGCATGCTTTGTGGTACTTGTACCATGATTGCACCCCTCCAATAGTCATAGAGACATATCAAGCAACAATGTTCTGTTGAACTCGAGCTTTCAAGCTTTTGTGGCTAATTTTGGAACTGCTAGAATGTTGAATCTAGATTCATCCAATCACATCATTCTTATCGGAGCTAGTGGTTATATAGCTCCAGGTGATGTTTCCCTTCTTTGCATCTTTTTTCTACAAAAAGTATATGTAATTAATTGAGTTTTTTATTTGATTTGATTTGTGCATGCAGAACTTGCCCATACAATAGTTGTCACTGAAAAATGTGATGTGTATAGTTTTAGAGTGGTGACATTTGAAACATTAATGGGAAAGCATCCAGAAGAAGTATTGTCTCAGTTGTCATCACCAACTTCTTTGGTGAATATGAAGTTAATTAATGTGTTAGACAGACGTTTACCACTTCCAACAAGCCAACTAGTTACACAAAATCGTGTTCACGTTGCTACATTGACGTTTGTTTGCTTAAATCAATAAGCAAAATCACAACCAACAATGAAAGAAGTGTGTAAATAGTTTCTTTGTTTCAACTTGTGAAGCATGAAATGCATATTGGAGAATGTTATGATACATGTCATGTATAAATCTTCAAGGGATGTTTCAATACAGAGTCGTTTATTCTTATAGCGTAGACATAATAGTCTTGGTTTTGAGATGTTACAATGAAAACTCGAATTTAGATATGATCGACATTTTTATAACACAATATTAGTAAATAATTAGATACCTTTAATTTAGATTGGGATAAGCATACCATTTAAAAATTTTAGTTCCGGTAATGTTGCCTCTAAATCAAATGTAGACCATTCGTTAAAAAGCTTGTGAGATTTAAAGATTAAAGATTCACTAAAATTAAACTTAAAGGACTAATAATGCAATATGTGTAGGATATATGGATAAATTTTATAATTAACCTAAAATTTTCGGCATAAAAAATGGATCAAATTATAATATTCTAAGTGCCTTCTGATTAAATTGCAGGAGAGCTAAGAAAAAGGAAGCTCAAAGTAAGAAGAGATACTCACGCTAAAACAGCTTTATCTACAGCTTTTGATTCCTTCTTCTTCTTATCAAGATCTGCACTATTGTTTCACGGAAGAAAATTCTTTGTTATTTATTATTGGTGACTGAAAAGAAGTGGTTGACTCCTTTCCAAGTTATACGATTTACAGCTGCCAGATTCTTGCCCAGACTCATAGTTTTTCTCATCAGTAGAAAGCGTTACATATTGAGGAAAAATTCAAATTTCTTGAATAAATTGAAGAAAAGAACAATAAATTGAAGTGAAGTATGTGAGCTAGGAGATGGGTTCAGACAAAAGCGCGACTTCTTCTGCTCAACAAATGGAATCATCTATTCAGGGCAAGTTCTCTCTTTTTCACTTTTACGTGTTTTTTCCTCGAGAAAATTTGAATTTTTGTTACCATTTACGTTCGTTTTTGTGTCATTGAGGGGTTTTCCCTCATTTAACTCTATTTCACGAACTTGAATGAAGTTGGGTTTTGCGAGATCTCTTATCGTTTAAGATTTTTTTCTAGTTCATTAATTAGATTGTTTTTTCTTACTATTGTAATATTGCAAAAACCAGATATTAAATTAACCGAATTCCTCTGAAAAATATGATGGTTAATTATTAGATGGATTAAAATGAGCTGAATGTATGACAAAGATAAAAAAAATAAAGTAGATTTCGGGTTTGAAGGCACAAAAAAAAGTAGTTATCAATTGAATACTCTGCATCTTAGATTAGTGAATCAAAGTAGGATACGACTGTTTCTTTTTTTTTTTAGCTTTATTCTGATTTTCTGTATAAGAAGGAAAATGTCGAGTTAATTGAGTTTTCTGGACCCATAGCTGATAGACTTGTTCAATTTTTTAGATATTCGTGAGAGACATCGGCTAGAATTAGAAAATTTAACATTGACAACACAGCCCTTCAAAACATTAAAGGTTTTCTTTCTGGTTATCCTTCAGTATGTCACTCAATCGGTATCGTATCTTTTGGCAAAGAGTGGTTGGCTTATGCTTTCAAGCACTCTAATGGCTGCTATTGGAAGTTTGCTTGTGACTGTTGAGGGTCCTCACGAGAAGGTAATCAAATTTGTAGGTTATCCTGCTATATCCATCATTCTTTGTCATGGTTTTCTTTTGATATACAATATACTTCATTATGCTGTAGGAAAGATTTTTGTTTGTTAAGAGTGAGTGCTCTGTATTATCTGCTACGTTCAGCTATGCAATTGAGGGATGCAAATGCTACGTACGAGATTTTATCATTATTATTTGTCTTATTTACAACTAATTAGATATAAAGATTGATAGCTAGGATTATTAATTACATTTTCTGTTTAAATATAGGGCTAGGCTTAAAACTCTATTTGTTACAAAATAGATTTACATCGTCGGAGGAGGAGGAGGAGGAGGAGTGGGGCGGGATCATGCCGGCTCTTATTGTCTCTTAATGATTATATATTTTGAAACCTTTTGTTTTATATGTAAGTTTCGGCTCAATATTTAGTTGAAGTTTTTTTTTTTCATTCTTATTTTTTATCATTTATTGTAATCAGATTAATGGAAACAATAATTAACAGTTGATGTCTTGATTATATTTTTCCTCGGCATGTTGAGGAAGTTTCTAAGTATGTTCGATTTGGATTATGGTGGATTGCACTTGGTGTTGCATCTTCAATTGTCTTGGTAAGAACTTTGATTTCAGAATATCTTTCATCTTGTCTGGGGGAGTGTGCACAATGAATAATTCTTTGCTGCTATACCAGCATGCTTTGTTTATTTTAACTCTTTCTTTCAACACTGGCTGACTTAAGCAGATGTCAAATGGTGGAAATACATAATCTCTTTTGCATTGAAGAATAATTCTAGTCTTGTAGATGGATTTCTTTCTAATTATTGCTGTTTTTAAATTGTAAGTCGCTAAGGTTGCTTAATCTGTTTCTACCCAATGGAGTTGAAAAACTAGCAAACTGGGATAATGTGATTATTAGAAATAACACTTCAATGATTGTTTCGAAGATTGTTGTGTATGAAGTACCACTGTGTTTTAAACATTTTACCTGGATGAAAGGGAGGATATCCATAATATGCCGAAGTTTTATTCTGAAATCTGATCTGCTTATTGTTTATACTTCCTTGATACAAAAGGAAATTTTGTTAAATAGATCGGATTCATGTACTTTTCTAATTTGCCTTTCTTATTCCAGGATCTGGTCTGCACACTTTTGTCCTTTATTTGGGTCCTCATATTGCCTTGTTTACAATAAAAGCAATGCAATGTGGACGAATAGACCTGAAGAGCGCTCCATATGATACAATACAGTTAAAGAGATGTCCTTCATGGCTGGATAAACCCTGCGGAGAGTTTGGGCCTCCATTATTTTCATCGTCACATGGGTTAAGGGTTCCTATGAGCAGCATATTGCCCCAGGTGCAGATGGAGGCTATCTTATGGGGTCTTGGGACTGCACTTCGAGAGCTTCCTCCTTACTTTTTCTCAAGGGCAGGTGTGAGTCCCATCTTTACACTATATACCTTATTACAATAACAAGGTTTGCTAGAAGAATCTGTTTATGGAAGGCTGATGAGGGCATTTCTGGAAGATGCCCCCCATCTTTTTTGCATTGGTTTGATAAGTGATATGATGCTAACTTTGCAACTTAACATTGTATGGTACTGACAGTGCAAAGGGGTTCATTGATCCCATTTATCTTGAAGTTTTACTTTGATTAATAACTTAAAGGTTTTAAATGTGAATCAAATTTGCTTGAGTCGCATTGTAGTTGTCCCCTTTTTGAATATATATATATATTATTTTATGTTTTCTCCATGAATTTCAGGCCCTTGGTTGTATTTTGTCTAATTGTTGGTTGTCGAAGACTTATATTTAGATTTCCGAGCACTCCATACTGTTAGAATAATAACTGGTTTATGTTGACCTTCTGCTGTATCCAGCTAGTTTATCAGGCAGCAGAATTGATGCCTTAGAAGAATTGTCCTCAAGTGAGGATAATGGAGTCATAGCTACTCGCCTAAGACAAATCGAGCGCTGGCTGTTATCCCACTCTCAACACATGAACTTCTTCACCATTTTAGTGCTCGCCTCGGTCAGTTATAATTTCATTGTTCTTTTCATTTGTTGCACATCAATTTGAATAGTGCAAAATATTGATGCAGCATAAGATGTTTTATTTTTAGTGCATATTTGGTTGTTTGACTGTTATCTCTGTTTTATTTTCCGCTTGCATGTTAGCAAATGCACACCTAGACCTTCATCCAGACTGGCATAAAATAACAATGTGTTGGAAAATAAAATTATGAATTTACTCAAAATAAGAAAGGAGAGGAAATGGTAATTAGTAACCTTTATAGAAAGGTTACTTTTATTTTCCACACTCATAATGTGTATTACAATAGCTATTTATAGGATTACATGAATGTAAACTTAAACATAAACATTAAAGTTAATAACTCTTCTAATTAATAAAGTGAGTTAATTAATTCAAGTAAACTCATGTGCTTAATTAATTAAACTTGCATGCATTTAATTCTTTATTAAAATCAAGTTTAGTTTCTAACACAATGTTCTGATGCATTTTCTTCAGAGAGAATCCTTGTTTAGGACGTTAACTATATCAATCCAGTAAAATTTTCGATCTAGAAATATTTCTTGCTAAGATAAATATAATGTGCGAATTTCACCGTCAATTGTGAAGTGTGGTATTATGTTGCGTGAGCAAGATAGAGAAACTTGATTGGTGTTTTAGCATCATCCCTTTTTAATTATTAATTTTTTAAGATCATACAAGTTGAATGCGGATTATAAATGCTATTTATATCATTTTTTTATTGCCTTATCATGTCAACCTTCTGATGATGAACTGAATCGTGTTCAGGTCCCAAATCCTCTATTTGACCTTGCTGGCATCATGTGTGGACAATTTGGGATTCCATTCTGGAAGTTTTTTCTTGCTACATTGATTGGGAAGGCAATCATTAAAACTCACATACAGGTCTGTGAATCCCAATGTTCCCGTTGTGTTTTTACATACAAGCTGAGCCTCAACTCGGATGCTTTCTTTGTGTTCATTGTTCCTCTTTCAATATTGACATTGTCCAAAATGCCCCACCTCTTTTGGTGGAATTGACTTCTACCAGACAGATGAAATCTTTCTATTCATGTTAATGAATCTAGATTTTCTTGATTCGAATTTTGCAAGCATCTTAGAAGTATCTATCAGTTCCTTTTTTGCAGACGTTGTTTATCGTCTGTCTGTAATAATCAACTCCTAGACTGGATAGAGAATGAATTGATCTGGGTGCTAAGCTTCATACCCGGATTCGGTTCTTTCTTGCCCACACTCACAGCAAAACTCCATTCGGTCAAAGAGAAGTACTTGGCTGCCCCACCTCCAGTGCCTTCAAATATCAAGGTACTTTCCTTGAGCCAGTACAAGAAATCTCTTTTAATCCCGAGTTTTAGTCGACTAGCCTATTTAGTCAAATCCGATAATATTTTTACAAATCCATTCTACCGCGGCAGGAAAAGTGGGATTTTTCATTTACTTTGATATGGAATACCATCGTGTGGCTTATGCTTATGAACTTCTTTGTCAAGATCGTCAATGCGACTGCTCAGAGGTATCTGAAAAAGCAGCAGGATAAGCAACTTGCGGAGATTTTATCTTCTTCAACGCATTCGGATTAGGAAGTCGACAAAAGCACTCGTCGTCCTTCTTCGTTATTCTCATTTACCAGTAGCGGTAGTGAACTACAGTCTGGTTGTCCTTGAATTACCATTGAAGTTCTCCCCTCTTAGAAGCTTGTATATGTATTATGTAGTAGGGGAACCTATACAGACAGAAACAAAGATTTTATTTATCCTTCATGTGTGATCATTATTTTGGGGCTTTTTACTACAAAATCTGGGTGAATGCTCCTTCAACATCTGGCTTTGAATTACTACATTTGCTTTCTGTTATTATTATTAACACAGTTGTCTTTTAATGGAAATTGGGGTAATCGTTTGATTAAACAAGATTTACCTATTGATTTTAGGGTAATTTAATTTTTAGTCCTTCCATTTAGTAATTTTCTTCAATTTGATTTATGAATTTTATTTGGCTCATTGTTATGGGGCTTTTTAATCTATTTTTAGTTCCTAATGATATGGTATAATCTTTTTAATACATTTTCTTACTTATATTTTAATCAAGATATTATTTATTAAATATCTAAATACTATCATATCGAAACGAAATAATCTTATTGAAACAACTTTTTCCAAATTTCAAGTTTAGGACATTTGTATCTTTTTAGATTTTGTCCTAAAGTTTCCAAAATTAAACATTTCAACCTTTTAACTTCATTTTTTTTGAATTTTTTATTAAATAATAATATTTAAATTATTAAAATAATATATAGAGTAATTATTATATGATTTAAAGTAAACTATCAAATAAAATAATTAAAAATTATAATTTAATGACCAAATTAATAAATTTATAAATATTATTTTATCGAAAATATTATCGTCTAACAAAATCCAGATTGCAGTGAATTCTGTTTCTCTTCAAAACATAAATAAATAGCTGTGGAATTCTAATTTTGTAGGAACAAAGTAGTTTTAATGACCCACAATTGAACAAAACGAACGAAGTTTCCTATACACTTGTAAACCCCATCGGGCCATCCCGCCAAATCATTTTTAGCTGTTTCAATACCAAAAAATTCCTAGAAAAAGATTGAAAATTTGAAATATATAAGCATTAAGCAATCATGCAAAAACCCAGAAATCTCTGTGTGTGTTTGGGCTAAAACCACGAAAGAAAAAGAGAAATAGAAAGAGAGAAAACAAAAGCAAACACAAGGGAAAAAGGATCGTTGTACATTGTTGTTGTTTCCTGTAACTTTTGTTTTTAAAAAATCTGGCAAGGAGAGAAGGATATAGGGGGCACGTTCATCGTTGAAACAAAGCGATCTTCGATATTAATAACGAAGAAGGCGAGTGTAGGCCTTGGCGTCGTAGGTTGTCAATGGCTTTCGCGTGGACCTCTGCTCTCAGGATCGTTCTTCTTGTACTTCTTCTCGCGGCTATTATTCATGCTTGTTTCACCCTCCCCATTGAAGCGGTTTGCTCCTTTTTCTAGCTTTTTGCGCTTCTTTTCTTGGTTTGAGTGAATTCTATTCTCTCTTATTCATAATTTTGCTTCCATTTTGTGTTTTCTCATCTGGGGATTTATATTTTTTTTCATCTATTCTTTTGATTGATCTTTCTTGTTTCTATTGTTGTTTTTGTATTGTTAATCTGGGTTTTTTCTTGTTATTACTTTTTTTTTTAGTGACAAATTGTGGAGTTTGGGTGTTTGCACTGCTTGAAGACATGAAATTATGAACGCAAATTATATGGTTAAATAGTTAAATGTATTCCATTGCTGAAATTACTACAAAATGCAAAGTTGGTGTAATTCAAGGTTAGACCGTTAGAGTTATGTGAGGGAATCCGAAATTATATAGCTTTATGAATTCTTAAAAATTGGATTTCTATTCTGCAGGCTTTCTAGATGTTAAATGTTCATCTTAAATTAAGCCTGATTGTCATTTTGCTACATTCTGTGCACTGCTGAAAATAAGTTTTTTTTTCTTGCAGATTCTTAAGGATTTTTTGTTATGGGTTGATAGCGAACTTGGACCTTGGGGTCCCCTTGCGCTGTAAGACACTTGAACCCTACCTAAATATCTCTCTGTTTTCAATTATCAAGGATTTTTGCTTGCATAATTCTTTACTATGCAATTCAATTTTTTGTACTAATTGTTTTTTTATAGGATTTTTGTACTAATTGTTGTAATATTTAATCTACAAAGTCGAATTTAAAATGTTTTCGAGACTTTTTCAAACCGGGTCCGAGTTGAAAGTTTGTTGTTTTGATTTAATCTTATATGCTTTAGTATCATGTTTGAGTACATCTAAACGGAAACTGGATCATCTTGTATATGTGGAACATAGGAACAATGTAACTGTATGTGTTCTCTAGCAATGAATGAATAGAATGGCCCTCAGTGAATATCGATCTTAGTTTGTTGTTGTTATGTTTCCCCTAAATTTGAAGCTTCTAGGTGGATGGTCGTCACTTTGCTGGTGAATTGAGTGGCTCTAAATTACTGGACTCTGATGTATTAGGATTTCTTTTTTTTCCCTTTTAACTCATTTTTCCTACTTGATGTGTAGGGCTGTCGCTTATATTCCTCTGACAATCTTGGCTGTTCCAGCTTCAGTGCTGACTGTAAGCTTTAAACTTCTGTTCTGATGCTTTAGTATCACCAAATTTATTTATCATTCTGTAGCATCATGCATTTTCTTTTCGTTTCCATTTTTCCCCTTATTACTTAATGATGATGATTGATTTGTTCATGTTTGTGGTATCTGTAGTAATGATCCTAATTCTTGCATTCCTTCTTAGCGGTAGTCTTATCCAGTACTGCCATCTCTAAGTATCTGAATCTGATCAGTTAATGTTAACTTGACACTCGTTATTAAAACCTATTCTATGTATTGGATAATTAAAAGAGCAACATTTCTTGCCTTATAATTTTGTTTCTCATTTATTAGAGGGGAGTAATCTATGATTGACATGCTTTGTTACAATTGAAATTAAACTGACCATGTGATCTTTTAACTTGTTTTCTTATCTATTTGTGACCTGCCCTTGTTCAATTTCTTCATGTTATTTGACATATTTTACTTTGCAATATACTTGTGTATTAAACAATCTCCTTCCAAACATTAAAGGAGCAATAAATAAGGTTTTAACATTACAAGACACTGTGTTTTATCCTTCAGCTTGGTGGTGGTTATCTTTTTGGATTGCCCGTGGGATTCATTTCAGATTCTGTTGGTGCAACTCTTGGTGCCGGAGCAGCATTCCTTCTAGGCAAAACAGTATGCTCATTGATTTCTTATGGAACTCTCAGTGTTTTATCTTACTGCTTTACCTTTCATCGGAAAAAACAAATCACTGATACAATAGATGTTTCTTTTCTCTAATCTTCATATCATTCTTTCTATTTCTTCCATTTTTAATTAATTTTGTATCTCTTTCAATTTTCATCTTATTAGAATTATGATGCTATTGTACAGATTGGGAGATCATTGGTTGTTTCGCAGTTGAAAGATTATCCTCAGTTTCAGTTAGTAGCAATTGCAACACGGAAATCTGGCTTTAAGGTTTGCATGCTTCGTAATAATTTTTGAAGGATGATTCTTGGTTTATAAGCCGTATAAGGCCTTGTTCAAAAACACCTCATAACATTTCCTAAATTTATATGATTTGATGGTATTTGCCATGAATAACCCATAATGCATTAGAGTGGTTTCATGAATGTGAAGGTATCACGACTTCATGAAAATTTATGAGTTACAAGTGGAATAAATAACTAAAATGTGTGTTTCACCTCATAAGTTTGATTAAAGTAAAGTGTTTTCTTCAGGCTTTCAATATGATTTTTCAGACTATCTAGAGAAATCGTTACTTCTGTACTTGTGGGCATGTTTGCAAACTCTAGCGGTATATGTTTGATTAACCATGCTTATTTAGCCTCTTGTGTTAGTCGTGCTTATTATCATCTCATTTTTTCCTTAAAAAATTATTTGAAATGGTGTTAGTTACGTATTTGAGACACTAAATATACACTTCTACAATAAGCATGTCATTTTGATTAGTGGTACCTATCACAATGTTATGTTAAAAAGTTTCTGTATGACTTCGCTTGTCTATATGACTCTGAACTGTGATAAAATCTTATGAATATTTAGTAATCTCAGTTTGACGATCACACATTCTGTTTAGTGTATCTCTGATGTGTTAATCCTACTTTGACATGCCTTGTTGTATCCTCCAAAGAATTTGAGAAACTAGTCCGATTGCATTTATATTTTTGCTGCTTATTTCTATGACAACACTTTTGTACCAAGTTTTTTTTACCATTACAATTCCCAAGATAGGCAGCCCAACTATTTGGATTGACGTTTTCATTCATTGCTGAAAATTCTGTCAGATTTCTAAACTTCCTTCTTCTGAAAATGGACAGATTGTTTTGCTACTTCGACTTGCACCTTTAGTCCCTTTTAGCGTGTTGAATTATCTGTTGTCTGTGACCCCTGTCTCATTCAGAGAATACATGCTGGCCTCCTGGTTAGGGATGGTGGTACTGCATCTATATAACCTTCCTAACATTCTTTCCAATAATATCTGTTTATGGTATTTCTGTTATATTGCGGATTTAACATTGAGATTCATGTTTGTTACAGCCATTAACCCTTGCTTTAGTTTATGTCGGAACAACAGTTAAGGATCTTTCTGATGTGACACATGGATGGAATGGATTTTCAACTGCTCGTTGGGTATGTTTCATGTTGTTCTTTATAGGCCGGTCCATTTTTTTTTCTTTTTATTTAAGAATGATTTGGACTGAGGTACGTTTTAGGCCAGGATAATATACTTCTAGCTACTTTTATGTAGGACTCTTCCCTTTGACAGACGTCGAAATGAACGTCGGTACATTTCGTGTTTGTATTTTGCAGTCCCGATTAGAATGACAAGAAAACTTGTTTTCATGTCATTTATGTTTTGTATTCTTATCTGTGTTTTTACTTTTTATGAATGCAGGCCTTTCTCATAGTGAGCCTTGTTGTGTCTGGTAAGTGGACAAATTCAACCAGGTAGTGTCGGGGAATTCCGATTTCAAAGTAGTGCAAGCTCTGTGATAAAACACATACAGAAAAGTTCATGTTTATTTTTCAAATCCATGATGGATATTCAGTAGAGGTATCCATGAGTCGGGTTGAGTCGGGCCGTGCCCCGGAACTTGTAGAAATCCTTTGTTCAAGCCCATTTCCGCGGGGCACATGCCGGCCTGGTTCAAGAAATACTCAGCTTAAAATTTACTCAACTTTTTGACATTTGCATTGTTGATTTATATGCAGTGGTTCTAATGATTTGTGTGACTAAAACTGCGAAAACGGCTCTGGA